GGCGCAGCGATGACAGGGGCCGCGACCGAAAGCGTGATCGGAGACGATCTCGAAGCAGCAGCCGTGGTCGAAGGCATCGGAGTCGTGACCGGAGCAGAGACCGCCACTCAAGACGAAGGCATTCGCGTCATCGTTCCCCTAGTCAGACTAAAACACTCGTATATAAGTATTGGGATGTGCCACCACCCGGATTCGAGCACATGACTCCTCTGCAGTACAAAGCTCTTCAGGCTTCTGGACAGATCCCAGTCAACGTCTACGCCGCCGGTCAGATTCCAATGCCAGCAACTGCACCTAATGCACCTCTTACACTTAATACGAATATACCATTCGCTGGAAGTGCCGTTTGTCGTCAAGCTCGACGCTTATACGTGGGCAATATTCCATTCACTGCTACAGAGGAAAATATGATGGAGTTCTTCAATAAGCAAATGAAATCCCAAAACTTGGTGCAAGCTGAGGGGAACCCAATTATTGCTGTCCAAATCAACATGGAGAAAAACTTCGCCTTTCTGGAATTCCGTTCAGTTGACGAAACAACTCAGGGGCTTGCTCTTGACGGCATTCTCTTCCAGAATCAGGCTTTAAAGCTTCGCAGGCCACGTGATTACGCACCTCTTCCAGGTGTGAGCGAGACACCGTCAATTATAGTTCCCGGTGTTGTGAGTACAGTTGTTCAAGATTCTCCACACAAAGTGTTTGTGGGCGGATTACCGAATTACCTAAACGAAGATCAAGTTAAAGAGCTTCTTCTGAGTTTCGGACCTCTTAAAGGATTTAATTTAGTCAAGGACGGATCAACTGGTTTGTCTAAAGGATATGCATTCTGCGAATATGTTGACCCTAACGTTACTGACCACGCATGTGCCGGATTGAACGGAATGCAACTCGGTGATAAGAAGTTAATTGTGCAGCGAGCAAGTGTCGGAGCAAAGAACTCGGGTGGTGCCATGGCAGCACCTGTAATACAGATACCAGGTCTCAATGATGCCTTGGTCCCCAACACTACTGGTTCGGGCAATATTACCGTTCGCAGTGGTGGGCCACCAACCGAAGTCCTCTGCTTGCTTAACATGGTCGAACCTGATGAACTTAACGATGATGAAGAGTACGAGGATATCGTCGAGGACATAAGAGTGGAGTGCAGTAAGCATGGAATCGTACGAAGTCTTGAGATACCGAGACCTATTCCTGGCGTCGAAGTTCCTGGTGTTGGGAAGATTTACGTCGAATTTGCAAGTCTGATTGATTGCCAAAAGGCTGCCAGTGCTCTCAGTGGTAGAAAATTCAACAGCCGCCTTGTTGTAACGTCATTCTATAGTCCTGACAAGTATCATCGCCGCGAATTTTAAGGCATATTATCATTTTTTGTACATAAATGCTCAGTTGTTTTAGCATTGTGTTTTTTACGGTATGCGCAATCTGATCTTGTCGTTCATGCCTTTCCCGTTCATTCTCTACTGGGCGTGTCTCTCTTGATCTAGTTGTTAGCCAAGGTTGACTACTGACGACATTGCGGTGGTTAGGAGCAGTTGCTCCCCGGCCAATTTAGGTAAAAGTAGTTTGTTTCGATCACTGCTAAGAAAACTAGTTGTGCTTCCAAATTGTTTCAGGCACAGTTTTTCAGCTTTTATTGATGGAGGCTTAAACATCTAGTGGGCTGCTCTTGGCCAGCTAGTTAATTTCGCTGTAATGCCCACAGACGACGGGCCGTCCGGAAGTTGCGTTTAATTTAGTCCTGAGGGTGTATACCAGGTCTGCGCATGGCGTCCATTGCCGAGCCTATTAAACATACCATTCAGTGAAAGTAAGCTGTCGATCATGTCACCCTTTCTCTCTCCAGTGACCTTGCGCACGTGATTATCGGGTCTATTCAGCCTTCAGTCTGTAGTATTGTAGTTTCCGCAAATTTGACGTTAATCCGAGTGTCAGTCTAGTAAGCTTATTGCTTGTCAGATGTCCGTGTAGGGAGTTACATCCTATCTCCAGGGGGGTGGGGGTAGTGAGTGTGCTTTCGGATGAGGGTTTTACAGGCTATCTTTCCGTAACAAAGTATTGCATGGCTCCTAGGCTACATTTAATGTGGATTAGTTTGGTCAGTTTTATGTCGTGCTCCCTCGGTACTGAGTCGGCGACAGACCGACAAGAGGTCTATAAAATAGGGCATGTAAGGTGTCATCCGACATCTACTTCAACGTAATCCCCTTCTCGAAAGATAGCAACCCTGTCGATGCAATATATGGGCAAGGTGCTCTAGCTGGTGCGCTATAGGAACTCATTGGCCTTGCTTCTAGATTACCTGGATGCAAGTACTATTAATCCAATACTATCACGAAGTGCATTTCTAAGTTCGAGGGCTGCACCATAGGTTCTTTAGGAGTGAGTTGGGGACGCTGATGCGCACAGATTGGCGCTCGGTCTGTTTGTGCATATTACACAGTTCGACATTGGCGGCTGCGTTCACCTGGTTGGAAGTGTGCTGAGTTGCGACTTTCCCCTCCGTCGGATGTTGGACCCATCGCGAGTGAAGTTATCTATTGTTTCGGTGGCTTAATCGTTCGTTAGCCAAGGAAAGTGTCTGCCGGGAAGCCCTAGATGGTTGTTCCCGCCTGGAAGGATGTTCGCTTCAGTCGCCCATTTATGTTTGCTTTCTGTAGCAGAGGCCGTTAACGCCGTAACTTTATGGCGGTCCAGACTCACGTTACAGGGGCTTCGGCCTACTCTAACGCCGGAGCAGTCTCCTAATGCGTTCGGACAAACAGATCACTGCATGGTCAGACCAATTTGATGGCGACGAGAGGTTTTTTGTCATCCACACGGTCTTCGGTGCGTATTGCAAGGCTGGGTGGCTGTTGCTCACGGATTAATCTCCATGGCCGGTCTTAGCGCAGCACGATTTATCCCAGGTTGCCCTGACACGCAGTCAAGTGTGAAGAAAGTGCTCTTGCAGTAGGTTGGGTGAGCCCTTGGGAACGGTGAAGTGGGGTAGACCACCGATGAATCCTCGTGGATGGTTAGCATGTAGTCTAATTCGAACATACGAGATCATGTTTGCGGTTGCTCGCGTGGACCACAGAATGTGGTGTTCGCAGGTGATCCGTCAAACGTACCAGTAAATTGCCTATCACAATACCGTTACCTGCAGTCAGTTCTGAAGCCCCATTCGAGGTTTTAGGCCTTCGAACGTAGGTTACCTTAAATCCTCTCCTGTTTGATGTGGATAGGTACGTTGACTGTATCTAGACAGGGTCATCGTAGGTTGTGACTGCAGCCAGTTTGCCCGTCGCGATTGATGGGTTTCACCACAGTTCTATGAGACAGCTAAGTTGCTATCTGGACGGAGTCGTACGGTTGCTGACTTTCCGAAGAATTTGGTCGGCTCT